TTAAAACTGCTCATGTTGCATGTATGCAGCATCTTTGTTTGGATCATGATTAAAATGCAGTGGTTGCCTCACTTTAAATGGAAAGAGCACAGGCAAAGCCTTATTTTGTTTATATGAAGAGATTGATTTTATTTGTGCCATTTAATTTGGGGCTTGTTTTAAAATTTCTATTTAGTTTTGTTATTTACATTTACATTATATTTAAATTGTTATTTAGCAGACGCTTTTATCCAAAGCGACTTACAAATGAGGACAATAGAAGCAATTAAAACAACAACAAACAAAAGGGCAATAATATGCAAGTGCTATATTATTATAGTGTTATATTTCAATTTCACAAAGAAACGTGCAGCATTTTGTCCAAGCAATAATAAAAGGACACATTTAATTTATAATTTGTCTTAAATCTCATTTTGTAAAAGAAATCGTGAATCGAATCGAATCAAATTGTGAAAGCAAAATCGTAAATCGAATCGAATTGCGAGTTGAGTGAATCGTTACATCCCTACCGGTGAGAAATCATGGGGTAATTTTAATTTTTGGGTGAACTATCCCTTTAAATACTTTAGACATGTGACTGCAGTGAAATGACACATGATCCTTACCGAGGTTCTCTGCCTTGTAGAAGATGTTATCAGGCTTACAGAAGGGAAGGGAATAGTACTCATAGGGCAACTGTGTTCTAGAGCTCGTCAATTTTACAGCCTGGTAATTAAAAACAGGTAAATTTTATAAACAATAACAAATACAAAAATCTAGAAACCTGTGGAGAAAGAATCTGTGGAATGAGTGATAAAGATGTGTCAAACACTGTGGCCTGTATCTAGTTCAATAAATATTGGAAAGACATGTCTGTGTGGAAAACAAGTGGTCAATACACAAGTAAACGACCCTAGAACCTGCTGTGTCTAGAGCAAGTGTTTTTTTTTTAGCATTTTTAAAGTGAAAGAAATAATTAAGCCAGAGTTAAAAGGCAAATCCCAACTCAAATTTGTAACTCAAATTCTTTTTTTTTTTAAAAAGTGAGAGGCTTCACCTTTATTTCAACAGGGCTGTTCTGGTGGAAATTCATAGGTGCAACCCCTGGTACATAAAAAGGTGTTAATAAAGGCAGCGTGGACACTATTAACAGTGCCCACATCTCCTACAAAGACAAAAAAGACACACAAAGCCAAATTTCTTTAGTTACTCATCTATAATCTTGTCGCAAAACCAAAAAGCACATTGACAGTCAACACTTCAAATAAAATCATACATTCTTGTTGTTGAACACTGAACAATGGCCAGGTGATTATAATGTTACTTATACTGATGTTAATATTGAGCTCTGCTGTTGGAGTGAATACCCTCTATTACACAACCAGGTGATAAATGATCCATAAACTATACTGACAGGTAAAGCAAGGTGAACGTGAAACGACCTTGATTACATATCCAGACAAACAATTACAGTCATCGGTAGGGATGGGCGATATGGGCTTAAAAATATATCACGATAATTTCTGATATTTATTGCGATAACAATATCAATGACGATAATTTAGGGAATCCTGTTTCTTTAGACCAGTGGTAGGGCTGGACAATAATTCAATATCAATATGTATCGCGATATTCCAGTCTTTCCTTCACTGATTTTTTAATTGTTATTCCGAGATATTTCACTGACTGCTTGATCTTTTCCATTGCTAACAGTTTTGTTAGAATCATGAACAGCAAGTATTTCACTCTTGTCTGTGTTGATTGGGAGGCCTGAAGCTTTTGAAAAAAGATCCATTCCTTTCAGAACACTCAGAACCTGGTTTTCATCTTTAAGAAAAATACATGTGTCATCTGCTAACTGAGATGTTAAAATAACATTGTCACCTAATCCAAATTTATCTAAGGCTGTATATATAAATTCATGTTCAATAGAGTCAAATGCCTTATAGAAGTCTAGGAACAGAATAATAGCACCTTCTTCAATAAGATCAGAGTAGTCCATCATATCCAATATAAGACGTATATTATTAGAAATATTTCTACCCTTAATAAACCCTGATTGTGTTATTGAAATAATATCTTCTAGACAAGGCTTCTTCTTCTTTTTCTTCTTCGGTGTTTTATTGGCGGTAGGATGTCATTTCACTCTCAAAGCTCACGAGGAAGTCAAGGCTTATGAATATTGACAAAAGAGGGTGGCAACAGCTCAGTGGAAGTTTCAGCATTTAAACGAGGAATTTAAAATGTAATTCTTATTTATCAATATATGTAGTTGTGAAGATTTATGGATTCAATTTCCTTATTAATTTTTATAGAGTTTTAATACACTGTGGCCTTTAATTCTTTATCATTAGTAATATCAATCTTAATATGAATGGATAATATATACACACACACGCACAGTGGGTATATAAAAGAATCACCCCCCTTTACAATAATCACATTTTGTTGCTTTGCAGCCTGAAATGAGATGGACACAGTTTTTGTTTTATTCAGCTGTATTTACTCAGTGCAACTTATAACATCCAAGTGAAAGATATAATACCAATATGTCAGAAAAAAACAGAATCACTGAGTTGGAAAAATTATCACCCCCTTGTGTCAGTATTTTGCTGAATCACCTTTTGCTTTAATTACAGCCTTTAGTCTGTTGGGATATGTCTCTGTCTCTACTAACTTTGCGCATCTAGACTTTACAATATTTGCTCACTCTTCTTTGCAGAACTGCTCAAGTTCAGTTAAATTTGATGCTGAGCATTTTGTGGACTGCAGTCTTCAAATCATTCCACAGATTTTAAATTGGGTTTAAGTCTGGGCTCTGATTAGGCCATGCAAAGACATTCACCTTTTTCTCCTTCAACCACTGTGTGCTCAGTTTTGCTGTGTGCTTTGGGTCATTGTCATGTTGGAAGGGAAACCTTCTTCCCTTTGTCAACTTTCTGACAGAGGGCAACAGATTTTCCTCAAGAATTTGATGGTATTTTGCCCCATCAATTTTTCCTTTTATCCTGACAAGTGCTCCAGTCCCTGCTGCAGAGAAACACCCCCATAACAGGATATTACCACCTCCATGCTTTACTGGAGGAATGCTGTTATTTGGATGGTGAGCTGTATTGGATTTCCGCCAGACATATCGTTTGGTGTTGAGGCCAAATAATTAAATGTTAGCCTCATCTGCCTCAGAATCTTCAAGGTGTGTTTTGACAAAGAGCAGTCGTGACTGTGTGGCCTTTCTTGAGGAGTGGCTTTTTTCTTGCAACTCCCATATATGCCACATTTGTGGAGAATTAGTGATATTGTTGTACCTCATCTGGATCACACAGTATGTAATAATTTTAGACCTATTTCTAAATTGCCTTTTATTTCCAAGATTTTAGAGAAAGTGGTTTACTCACAACTTTTTTTCATATTTGAATACTTTTGGTATCCCAGTCTGGCTTTTGGACCTTCCATAGCACCGAATCTGCTCTACTTACTATTGATGTCCTAATATCGTTGGATTCAGGATCACAGGTTGTTTAAGTTTTGTTAGATTTAAGTACTGCTTTTGATACGATTGACCATAAGATTCTTCTTAATCGCTCGGAGTGTTGGGTTGGTGTCCAGGGCACAGCCCTTCAGTGGTTTGCATCATATTTAATGGACCGGACAGTTGCAGTGAAGTTAGGAGACTTTTCTTCCACATTGGCTCCTTTACTGTGTGGCGTTCTGCAGGAATCGATTTTGGGGCCGTTGCTGTTCTCTTTATATATGCTTCCTTTGGGCACCATTTTTCGGAAATATTGTATAGTATTTCTTACCATTGTTATGCCGATGATCTTCAGATCTATTTTCCTGTGAGCCTAGGTAGGTGAATCCTGTTCTTTGGACAAAGTACATGAATGCTATACTGATATTAAGCTCTGGCTCTCTAACAACTTTCTTCAATTAAATGAGAGTAAGAATGAGGTTTTGATTGTATGGTCTCCTATGTCACCTACCTTTGCTGGTCAGCTAGGTTTACTATCCTCAAAGCTTGATGATCATGTTAAGAGTCTAGGGGTAATTTTTCGATGCATCGTTAATTTTAATACACAGATCAGTGCCGTTTTTAAAGGTAGCTTTTTTAATTTGAGATCAATTGACAAAATGAAGCATTTTCTTTCCAGGAAGAATTTGGAAATTGTGGTCCATTCTATTATTTTGTCTACATTAATTATTGCAATTTGTTATATATTGGTCTCCCTCAGACAGCGTTGGCCCGCCTGCAGCTAGTGCAGAATGCAACTGCGAGGTTTTTGATGGGAACAAGAATGAGGAACCACATTACCCCTGTACTGGTATCTTTACATGGCTTCCTGTTAAATTTAGGATTGGCTTCAAAATTCTCCTGTTTGTTTCCCGCATAGTAATTTTAAATCGAAACGAGATTGTGCTTTTTCTGTGGTAGGTCCCAAACTTTGGAATAGTCTTCCATTCCATGTGAGGTCAGCTTCATCAGTTGCCACCTTTAAGTCTTATTTAAAAACGTATTTATTTTCATTAGCTTTTGAATAAACTGTGTTTGTTGCATGTAATATTAAATTTTATTGGTGATGTCTTTTCTTTCTTTTATTGGTGAATTATTTTCATTGTAAAGCACTTTGGAGCAACATCTATTGTTTGTAAATGTGCTTCATAAATAAATTTGCTTGCTTGTCACATGCACACAATGACCGCTCTTTGTCTTTGTCTTTGATTTGCTGTAGGCCTCTTGCTAGCCTCTCTGACCAGTTTTCTCCTGGCTCTTTCATCCAGTTTGGAGCGACGTCCTGATCCAGGGAGGGTCTGTGTTTTACCAAATACCTTCCACATCTTAATAATAGACTTCACTGCTTCTAGGCATTGATAAAGCCTTTGAACATTTTTTTTATCCATCTCCTGACTTATGGTTGCGCTACCAAGGACTGAAATGCTCCAGGAAAGCTCTTTTCATGCTGAGCTAATCAAAATGACCACAGCTGATCACAGTTGAAAGTCAAATGACTTTGTGTGCCAAGTTTTTTTTTTCCAACTCAGTGATTCTGTTTTTTATTTATTTATTTTTTACATGTTGGTGTTCTATCTTTCACTTGGATGTTATAAGTTGCACTGAGTAAATACAGCTGGATAAAACAAAAACTATGTCCATCTTCATTTCAGGCTGCAAAGCAACAAAATGTGATGTACCCACTGTATAAATATTTATATTGCTATCATTAGTGTTAGTTATGTCTTAATAATGTGGTAATTTTCCATGGTTTAATAAATGAATCAATAAAATAATTTAACTAGTTTGTAGCACTATTATGAGAATGAGTGTGAATGAGATATTTTCCTTCACACTACTCAAAATTTAAATTAATTTATTTGTTTTATAGACTAATTGTAACAACATACATACACACTACATACATTTACAGGTAACTCTTTGGAAAATACTTTACATCATGGAAAAGTTTACTGAAAATCAGCTGCATAATCAACATCATGTTTTACATGTTAATGAAGCCACAACTAAAGTTAATAAAGCCTTAATATGATTGCAGGGAATTAGAAAAAAAAGAATGTCACAATAGCATAAAATAACAACCTACAGAGACTTCAAGAAATATTCATAACTACCTTAGGTACAGATGTTTTTTTCCTGAAATGCAATGATTTAATATTGATTTGTTTTCTGAGCAAATATACATTTGATAATCCACAACAACATCTTTGAAACCTAATGTAGGTTGAAGTTTTAGAAATAATCTTCTTGTAAGCAATCAAAACTACAATTTATTTTAATGCTCTTATGTGTACTCTCAATTACAATGCACATATACATATGATTATCTCTAAAATACATCTGTAATCAGGTCTTTACAAATACATCAGAGAAGTTGTAAAATGAAAAAGACAATACATTTTAGAATAAAATTATATCTTTATATAGCTTCTATTGTGCAACACAGTGTAAGGCAAAGGGCTCTGCATGATAGGAATAAATCTGCTATTACAGAGATTTTTAAATTGTATTCAGTTACATGTCATTAAATAACACACTATAACTTTTCACACTTGATTTCACTACATATGTATAAAGTCAACAGGTTGGCATGGATAAGTTGTGTACATTTCTTTGAGAGTTCCTTATAGGGATTTATGCAAGATCAAAGTCATGTCAAAGTGTGTGTGTGTGTGTCTGTGTGTCTCAAGGCTGTTGCTGATACTGGCTCTCCGTGGCAGTGTAAAAGTCCTCCAGTATACTTTGCAGGTACTCAAAGGTGGGCCTGTCCTCTGGCTTGTTCTTCCAGCATTCCAGCATGATGTCATAGAGCTCTTGAGGGCAGGAGTCCAGACGCTGCATACGGTAACCTCTCTCCAGAGCACGGATCACCTCTGGATTTGTCATACCTAAACACACCGTAAACAGTTTGAGCATCTGCTCTAAGTACAAATTTAGTTTTGTGTCATTCTCTGGGAATTGTGCAATTTGAGCTTAACAATTTAAGCATTTTCTAAACTGTTTTTTAAAAAGGTTATTGTTGAAATTTCATATTGAAAAATCATATTTTCTCACTTCAGACTCAGTATACCAAGACCATAGCTAATATTACTGCACCAGATACGATAATGCCTGAAACTTACTTCTGTTTGATTTAATTTTATTAGGTCATTCCCTCAAATATGATGACGGAAATATCTAACTATTATTTTTAAAAGGGAAATGTCACAGTATAACAACGTTAAACAGAGCTTTTCTTATTCTATGAATGTAATGATGATGAATAGACACATGCAGATAAGCTGCTATTCATATGAAAAACAAAGATGTAAAAATACACAGTAAAACTAAAAAGAGAAATGTATTAAATGTAATGCCGTTCAAAAGTTTGAGGTTGGTAAGAATAGCTTTATTCAGCAAGGATGCATTAAATTGATTTCTATTTCATATTCATTTTCTATTCATTAAAGAATGCTGAAAAAATATTTCATGGTTTCCACAAAAGTAGCAACACAACT